TCGGCGCTGTAGCTGCGCCCGGCCGGGCTCCCCCCGCCGCTGCCCGGGCCCCGGCTTTGGCTGCGGTGTGTTGGTGTCCCCCGTCGCGGTGTGGGGATCGACTTCACTGCGCGGGGGAAAGCGGCTCTAAAAGTGAGCGGAATCGGTGGCAAAAAGGCTGTAAATCTGTCCCTGTGCCGCTCCAGCGTGGCGGGAAGGGGGGTGAAGCAGGAGGGCGGGTGCTTGGCTGGCATTTATTTCAAGAACGAATTGAGATGGTGTGTACATTTGCTGATAGCGTGGATGTAAAGGGAAAGATAATTTGCTATGCTGTAGTCAGCTCTGTAACTGGAATTTGATTATTTTGAGATTTTTTTTTTAATTATATCCTAACCCGTAGTATTTCACAGGTAGTTGTTCATTGATATGTCTCACTGAGACAACTGATATTACCAAGGTACAAATTTTACAAAGCAGAGACACTACAAAGGATGTTTCTTATTTCATGTAGGTATCATATTGCTTGATCAGAAGAACATTTTTTGGGTATCCCCTAACTAAAGCAGGTTCTGGTCTGGTCCAGCAGACTAAAGGTAAGAAAATATTTGCTTGGATTTCTGTCCCATTTCAACCTTATACCAAGAGTTGACATTTTCTGCAGGAATTTGGCATCTTCTCTCCTGTACAAATCCTATTCCTGATTCTGTTTTTCTCTAGATGTTTGTTTGAGGTTCCGCAGACCACGAAGTTCTACAACAGCTGCTGACACATCTGGAGAGGACATCTTACTCAAATGGGGCCTTTTCCTGGTCCCTCTGACTGCGTTCTGTCTTGGCACTTGGCAGGTAAAAAAAAATATTTCATTTTTTCAAGAGACAAGCACTTGAGGGCTGTCAGGTTTTTCCCTTTCTGGCTGTTTAATCTAGTTCAAATCATACATAGGGTAAAGATTTGCTCTTATTTTACCTTTCTGTTTTCCAAGTGTTCATTTGTAAGTCTTTAAAGGAGAGCGTCTTAGTTTTTACACTTTTATTTCAGTTTAAATATTTCCTCAAAATTAAGTCAGTAGCCTCCATTTCCGTATCTCCAATTACCCTGTTTTAGGCCAGGTCTGAGGAGAAACACACAACACAGATTTTAAGGCTTGATGGGGTTATTATATTGCTCTGTTCTACCATAAGGAACTACTGGTGTGTTTATGTACTTTCAGGTTCAGCGACGAAAGTGGAAATTAGATTTGATTGCACAACTGGCATCGAGGATTACATCAGAGCCCATCCCTCTGACATTAGAGTAAGGAAGCTGAAACTGATACTATCACTGTGATAGTAATAAAACACTAAGCCAGCTGCTTATTCCATGAGGTGTTTGTGTCCTGTTCCTGTTTGCCAACAGGCTCTATAGTGAGCCATTAGGGGAAAGGAGAATCCCATGATAAAATCCCCTAATTTGATTTGCGTATCACAGCCATGATTTTGTTTTCATCTTTTTCCATGCAGCCCCATGGAATTGAAGGAATTGGAGTACAGACCTGTAAAGGTTCGAGGCCATTTCGACCACTCCAAGGAGCTCTATATTTTGCCACGGTCACTTGTGGACCCTGAGCGAGAAGCAAGAGAAGCCGGGCGGCTGACATCCCACCCGGAAAATGGAGCGAACGTCGTTACTCCTTTCTACTGCACAGAACTAGGGTAAGTTAATGAAAGCCGTGGTTCATGTGAGCAGCTCGCTTCTGTTTTGAAAAGCTGACTCATGGTGGTTGAGTTTATATAAATCATTCCCTCTCCCTTAAAAGGCATTTCTCACAGTCTGTTATGTCACTGAGGCTCAATTTGAAATTGTATTTGAATTCCCTTATAATATGCACTCAGATGACAAAAAAAAGTGGCACCAAACATATGGGTTGCTTCTTTCTGTGGTAACTAGTTCTAGGCAGCAGCAAGAATCAGTTTCCTTTCACTCATGAGCCATACTTCTTTATGTAACTCTAGGGTCACAATTTTAGTCAACCGAGGATTTGTGCCCAAAAAGAAATTGAAACCGGAGACCAGGCTGAAGGGACAGGTAAGGGGGATACAGGGAATATTGCGTGTTACTTTCTGCCCTGTGATTGCCGAGGTGCGACTGACAAACCAAGAAAGGCAGTAGCCATGTTCAGCATCATGGGAGGTTACTTAAATAGTCATTGCACTTTTTTCCCACATTTTTGGTAAGTAAATGATGTTTTTTACAAACAAGGAGCTAGTCTTGATCTGCCTTTTCCCCTGCTGTGTTACAGCACTGCCCCAATGCAGGGCACAACCAGCTGATTTTTAATCAGACCCCACAAATGCCATGTTTTTCTACCAAGACCTGGCATGTCAGAATGTGGAATGATTCTTGAAAGGTTCATTTTCTCTCCTCTGCACTTCTCTTCAGATTGAAGATGAAATTGATCTCACCGGGGTGGTGAGGTTATCAGAAACCCGGAAACCTTTTGTGCCTGAAAATAACATTGAGAAAAACCGCTGGCATTACCGTGACCTGGAGGCTATGGCAAAGGTGACTGGCGCTGAGCCCATCTTTATCGATGCAGATTTCAGTAAGTCACAGAGGAACCCAACCCCACCTCCGATTTACGTAGCTCTCCCCTTTTTTCTGTTCAGTTAGTTATTTCCCCTGGGCATTTGGAAAGGTAGACTCATTTAGGTTGGAAAAGACCTTAAAGATTATGAAGTCCAACAAGGTATTGCATCTTTCTCTTCTCTTTGTGTACTCTGCTAGGTTGACTGTTTTGAAGGTGATGGGCAGCTAGCCCTGGGGAACAGTAGGGTGCTCGGAGGAGATGCAGGCAGTGTTCGCTGCCTTGAGCACAAGCAGCCCCTTCCTGTAGGGCCGCCTGCCCCACAGCTCCAGCTGTGCTGGTAACTTGGGAACAGTTTCCTGAGGAAGAGGAGCAGGGTGTCTGCTGATTTAACTTACACGCTTTGTTATACCTACAGGAAGCACAGTCCCAGGGGGGCCCATCGGAGGCCAGACAAGGGTGAGCCTGAGAAACGAGCACATGCAATACATCATCACCTGGTAAGTTACCCAGCCAGCTTGTGACTGACCTTCCAGGTGTTTCTTTTGAATGTAAAGCTTCACCTTGCTCCTGTAGCAGTGAGACTGGATAAGCTCTTAAGCTGCAAAAGCCTAGTTTTAACTGAAGTACCACATTGCATGGTGATTTGAAGTAAGTTTTATTGCGCTGCAGCTGACTTAGGAAGGTCCAGTCCATCATGAAAAGAAGGTGTAAACGTGGTTTTGTTTTCTTCCCTAGGTATGGCTTATGTGCTGCAACTTCATTCTTGTGGTACAGAAAATTCATCCAAAAAATACCTCTTTGAGGGGAAGGGCTGATCTCTTCTCTACTACAGTCAAGAGCAGGCTTTTATAGATGACAGCAGTCTGATCAGTCCTGATTAACTGAAACACCCAGAGTTTCAGGACATGTTCAGTAGATGTGTGCAGCTGCCAAGCTGGAAATAGGCTTTAAGCAACTGATGCAGATTCTGAGCTCCTACCAGTGCCATTCTGGCTGCAGCTTGGAAGTACTGAACTACAAAATTGTAAGTGGCTTTTGAGACTTCTAGTCAAGCTGATTTATGGAGTAATCTCAAGGATACTTTTTTCTATCATGGTTGGTTGTAAGCTACTTTTTAACTTCTCCACTGCTGTATTTTCTAAAAGACAGCAAAGGATTTTGTGAATTGAAGTTTCTTTGCACTGAGTAGTCATTCCTGAAGTCAGGAGTGATTCACAGCAGTTGCAGCAGAATAAATAAAGAGGGCCTACAGGTGCTTGCCTTGTGACTTGCATTGCATCTCTTACATCCTAACAGCAACAAACCTGATTTAAAGGTTACTGTGGATACTCACATCTAGCTGGGCAAGGCAGTCTATGGCTTCACCAGAACATGAGGAAGGCTAGCAAAACCAAGCAGCAGCTACCTCAGCTGGAGCTTTATCAGGCTTCGTAGCCTCCCACAATGCCGCAAGACCAAGTCAGTGGTCAGGAAAGAACAGAAGGACAAGAAGGTCTAGATTCTTCACCCACACTTCAGCCTGCCTTCACTGACCATTCTTGCCCTGGAAGAGGCATTACAGACCTCCTCATAGGAGCTGTGTGTTCAAAGGAGAAGAATTACTACGCAGGACTAGTATTTAAGGGCAGTTGTTCCACGTAAAGTAATAACCTCCTCTATGCAGCTGCTTCTGTGCAGCGCTATGCAATCATCTGATGGAAGGCCGTGCTGATGTGCTAACCACTGTCTGGAACACTCCCATTAATAGAGACCACTGAAACTCAATCTGGGGGTTTATTCTTTTTATGTACAGAAAACACGGTAGCAATCCAGTACATCTTTAGCCCAGCTTAGTAGCCAGTTCTTTAGCCTTTGCTTTTTCAAGCTTAGCAATGCGCGCCACAGATTTTGGACCCAAGACGTTACCACCCCAGTGACGACGGATCTGCAAAGAAATGAGAACAGGTTAGATGCCTCATACAATCTTTTACACGATTCAAACAACTTGCTTAATTACACTCCTTTATGCATAAGGGGAAGAGCTCCCTCAATGAGGAAGTCCTACACATTTCAAGCAGTGAACTACAGCCTAGAGATACAGGAGTTTTTAATTAAAATCTTTCCCCGTGAATGGTGCTGGATTCAGCCATCACATGGGGGACAGGGTTGAGCCTAGCAGAAGCTGTTGCCCTCTCTACAATCCTAGCCCTGATATAGCTCCGCTTACTTCCAACTCGGTGACAGCATTTACATCTTACCCCATCCTTAGGTGAATAACGTAGATACATCATAAACATATAGGTACAACACAACTAACAGGCTTAAAGGTGATGTCACTATGTCTGAACTAACTTGCTTTTCACTGGCAAGCTTTTGGGGATGTTAACAGTACAAACTAAAAGACATGGCTAGCAGCACAGAGACTCTTACCTCATCGTATCTGTCATTGTAGTTGGTCTTGACAGCCTCCACCAGCTTTGCAAGGGCTCCCTTATCCTCCCTGTTGATGATAGTTTTAGTTCCTTTAGAGCCTCAATTTAACATTTTCCATAAATCTTTTGCCTCAGGATTGAAGAGCTCATAGTGGCAATGTGATTTTTCCGGTTAAGCATAAGCATCATTTGCAAAGGGTTAATCACTCCAAACACCAATGCTTTTGGAACATGCACTACTCAGATTAAGGTTAATAGTTACATCTACATATTTTAGAGTAACTATCCATTTTGGTGAAACAAAGTGATCTGTATCTTCAGGATCCGATAGAGCTCTTGATACAAAAGGACATCTGTATTAGACATTATAGAGGTAGTACTGTAGTTTTACTACATGAAACTAGAGAGAGCCAAGTTTGCTATCCATCTGCCCTACAGTCTGTGCTTATGGGCAGTTTGCTTTCTACCGCAAATCCAGTCAGCACCCACAATACTTACGGGTTAACTTGTGTGAAAGCAACACAGGTGCAAGTTTTCCTGTGGACCAGTCGCCCCAGTCTGGCTTTGCCCTTGATGATGCAGTATGGCACTCCCATCTTGCGGCAGAGAGCTGGCAAGAAGACGACGAGCTGAAACGAAAGGGAGCATGCTGTATAACTGAGGGAGAACATCTTTTTATTCTTGAATCAGCCTGGGCTGTGGCAATTGCTCAGTGTTAAAAAGCTCGTTTTGCTCTTCATTGTTGATTCAGGTGAAGAAATTCATACATCATTGCAAGGGCCAAGCCTCATTATAATACCAGGAAAACTATGAATATGCATAGGCATTCCAGTTCTGGTAAATGTATTTTTATGCATTCTCTTTCCACCTTTGTCCTAAAATGCATTCTCACCCCAAGCCCAGTTCTGACCTCAGCTTAAGTCACACCAGTAGCCTATACCATGCACCAGCGAGTACGCTTACCTCAATGGGGTCTACATCGTGGGCAATAACTACGAGCTGAGCTTTCTTGTTCTCTACCAGAGTTGTGACGCTGTTAATACCTGAAAAACAAGTTATAGATAAGCTTTGATTCCCCTCAGACTGTTTTCAGAGCTTTCATATAAGCCTCATATAACCAGCTCAGACTCTATAGCACAGCTTCATTATGAAAAGTTATGAAAACTTTTCACATCCATTCAGCAGCACAGAGAAGATATTCCATGGACAATTTGCTAAAGCTCAGGGTTAAAAAGCTCGTCTATTTTGCTCTTCACTTTAAGCTCAGGTGAAGAAATTCATACATCATTGCAATAGCTTGTCCAATTCTGTTTGGCTGGAGCCGAGCTCCAACTCTTCTCATCAGTTTTCTCACTAGCAAAGCACCATGCTCCCATGTATGCAAGCAGTCAAGTCCATGTACAAAATTACCTGCTCGGAGGACCGGTGGCCGCTTAGTTGGAGCATCTCCCTTTCCTGCAGCTTTCTGCTCAGCACGAGCCAGTAGCCTCTGCTTCTTCTCTTGCTTATTTTCTGGCCTGTATTTGTGCGCCAGCTTCAGAAGCTGTGTAGCTGGAAAATAATATCTACTAGTTAGTTAGTTGCATGACCTGAAAATCTAAGCATTGCTTTTTAAAATACTGAAGTGCATCAGCGATCTTGGTGGTTGTCATCAAGTGCATTTAGACAGCATAAATTTAGCATCATTTGCACAGTGCAAGAGCAGAGCTAGCAGAGCACCTCCAGAGCCCCTATTTACCTCTGCTGGCAATGAGAGCTCCTTCACTGTTTGGATGAGGAAATGCCTGTGGACCCCCACAGCACTTATGGTTAACGGTGGTGCACTTTCTCCTTTAAAGCAAGCAACTTATTTGGCAACATCTACGAGGGACTAACTCTACACAGGTTGAAAGTTTCTTGCACAGACATTGCCACCTGGAAAAGACTATTTACTCATTCACAGAAGACCCTGAAGTCCCTTCCTCTCCCATTTCAATGCCAGTCTGCAGGATGCTGGCTTTCCCCCCAAAGCCTACACTCATACTGATCTCTAAAACTATCTGTGTACACAGTTAAAAGAACCCTCCGTGTTCTACACCAAGCTGGAAAAATAGACTCCAATGGAAACATACAGTTAACCTAACTCTGGGTTTGGGTCTTCAAGTGGGAGCTTTGGCATTTTCTAACTCCCTTTTGAAAATACATACCAGCTATCAAGATGTAAACCAGCAAACTCAGACAGCAGCTTGCTGTCATCATCACCCAAGTCACTATTAAAGCCTCCCTAAAATGCTTCTAAAGATACTCTCCAGCTTACCTTTATTAAGTCCTATTTTGGTTTCTTTCCTCTTCTGAGGCACATCCCATTAAGGACCCAAGTCAAGAGGACTTTGTGGGGCACATCCTTACCTGTCTGGCGGTCCAAAGCCTGAGTGAACTGGTTAATGGCAGGAGGCACCTTCAAGCGTTTGTAAAGAATGGACCTCTGGCGCTGCAGCCTGATGTAGCGCGGCCATTTCACAAAACGAGTGAGATCACGCTTCGGCTGGATATCCTGTCCTAAAAATACAGGCTATAACTCAAAACTGTTCCAAACCCACAGAGCAACAGCACAGAATAGGCATGGGTGCATCAGTGATCTTGGTGGTGACATGTCAGCACTATCACTCAGATAGCAAATATTCTTTCACATCATCTGCACACCATACAAAAATGACACTACTTAAGTCTGAATAGATTCACCACACCACATGCAGAATGGCAAAATTCATCACAATAGAATCACATAATAAATCTTTATAATGCGGGAAATTCAGCAAATTGTCCATAACTGCCTTCATATACGTAACAAAGGCCAGCTCTGAATTGCAAGGCAACTATATCCATCACTCTCTCCAATCCACAGCTTCATTAAAATACCCTTCTGTTTATGATATAGGCATCTCCCTATAAAACAAAATAATCTTGAGCGAGCAGCCCAATATCCACTTACTCACCGATGCCAAAGTTCTTGGGCCTCTTCTCAAAGAGGGGATTGACAACCTTCTTGGCCTCCTGCTTCTTGACTACAGCAGGGGCCGGTGCCACCTTCTTGCC